AAATTGGAGGTAGTTTGAGGATTAAATTTTTTATGCTTTTTAAGCTCAAAAAAAGCGGGGGTCGTATTATACATGAGATCATATTATACATGAATAAATACATTAGTTTATATTTAAAACATCAAAAGCATAGCTAAAATCAAAACTAGCAAAAAATTTGCTAAGTTTATCAAAACGCTAGCTAGAAACCACAAATAGCTAAGTATGTCTAAGAGCAGCAAAAGGCTAACTACAAGCTAAATGTAGCATAAGAAATGAAAATAAAGCAAGTGTGTAGAAAACATCATTTTAAAGTTACATTAACCAAAAGTCATATGACCACCTCACGGTTGTGTTGAACATTTTGACATACTGGATCTCTGGCTGAAATAGTAAATGTTATGCAGAAGCTTTTGGATTTTAGGAAAAGTAAAAAAACAGGAAAACAATATGCTGAATCAGTCACACAAATAACTAACCCTATCTTTAATTCTAAAATCATTTGAAGCTGTAGATTAACTCTGTTCTGCGTCTGGAGTCTAATCATTTTGAACTGTGTGATAGTCCTGTTTCTGAACAGGAGTGTGAAAACTCGTCTGCTTCAGGTCGTGTCCGAGTGTCTGACCAGGACTCACAGGATGTTTTCAACAAAACACTCCTAATGTGAATGAGCCACACAGCGGCCAGCACGGACACACAAAACACACACAAACACACACATACATCCCACATCCCTTTACTGCTGGCAGAGGCTTTGGAAATATTGGCACACACTGCAGAGAGCAGTCCCAGAAAGGCCTGGAATCCCCTTGAGAAAACCCTGGGGGAAAGCGTGGTGTGTGTATGTGTGTGTGTGTTGGGGAGGGGGGTGCTTGGAATGAACTTGGAGGACTCAGTAATTTATTTACTAGCTAAACTCAGTGAACCCTGCCTGAGTCAGCCACTTCCAGCAGCCTGTCAGACCCCTCCCTCCTGCTCTTCACTTTGTTTTGTTCTTCACCCTAATGCKTCTCATTTCCCCCCTCCCCCTGTCTACTTATCGACAGGCATTCCACATTYAGGCCCCTTATTGGTCTCCATCTTAACCTATGCTCCAAGCAACTTAATCCAACCCCCACCTGACCTCTGTCACCCTGGTGCTCTTCATCAGTTTCAGTCATGGTGAGCACTAAAATAAATGTTGGTGGTTGAAGAGCGGCCAGTGGACAGGAAGTGCTCGTCATTCTTTTACTTTGATGATAATGATTCTGTAGAGCCTTGTTTGATCAGACAAGTTTCTTAAACAACTTTCTGTTGAGGTTTTCAGCACCACATCTTCGGCACTATTCCTCATCCTGCATCATATTCCTGGTCTAGAACAGTGTTTCCCAAAGTTGGGGTCGGGACCCTAAGTGGGTCCTATATAT